TGAGCTAGCATTAGCTTCTATCTTGCTTGAAAATGAAGCCTATCTATCTGTTGCCCTGTCTCCTTGTCTGCCTCCCATGGCCTCCCATGCCACTGTACTTGCGCCAAATTTTAGAACTGGAAAAACGATTTGTTATTTGTCACCGGACTTTTCGTACCTTTTCGTGTCTCAAACTTCATATGGAAATTGTCCATAATGCTGCGTTTATTCTGCTACTTTAAGAAAATGCATTTGGGCATCATTTTTTTTCTGTTGAGGTGCAAGGAAAGCCTTCAGTATGCCTTTTAGAAAAAAAACCGGTTGCATGCGGTATTTGTGGCAGAAAACTTGCTAACCAAGAGGAGCTTTCTCGACACAAGCAAAAATTCTACCAACTTGAGTTTAGGCCGATTCCCACCTGTAAAGTGCATTCAAATGTGGATACTTAATTTTATTGTTTTTTAAAATCCTTTTATCTGGCTTAAGAAATGGTTGCACTGTTTGCAAACTCGTCTTTGAGACGTTGAAAGGTCTTTGAAAATATATATTTAGCTTACATAAGGGTGAGAACTTGAGACCCACTATTTGAATGCCGTTTGCAAAATTATGTGACTAGGTAAGTATTATGATCACTTAGCTTTTGGATCCCCTCCGAAGACATGGTAAGGAGTGTACGTGTGGATGGAAATCTTCTTCCTTGATGTGCAGCAAGGCTGACGGATTACTGACAGAAATTACTTAACCGAACTGCCTTATCACCACAGTCTACTACACAGTCCTTATCCTCTCTCACACATTGTTTGCACCTTCTTCTATGGACACTTCTGTGTTGGCCATCATGATTTGGCTGAGGGTTTATAATCAACCTGGTAGAAATAAGAACTTTTCATTAACTTTTTCATGAAATTCTGCCTAGCACCTGCAAGGCAGATTGTGGAATTCAACAGCTCTAGAGTTGCATTTTTTTGCATCAAGGGGCAATTTAGCGGTCGCTGCAGTTAAACCTACAAAGGAAATGGAAGAAATCTCAAATACCCCATGACCCTTTACTTTTTCTCTAGATGTAGGGTCGTGTAGGAACTACTACTTTTGCATGCTCAGTAGGCGTTTTGTTTCGTCTTTTAGGGAAGGTTGAGGTCCGATGTGATATTTGCGATGTCACATACCGGGGAAGAGGCGCGCTGAAAATCCACACCACGATGAAGCATACGGGTAATCTCGGTAGTTGCTTCACCCCTCGAAACTTGTTCCTTCTCGCTGTAACGTCACTTTTTGTCCACAGGCGGACAGAATCGTGCCAAAAGTTCCCTTTATCTAGGAGGCCATTTCAGTAATTTAATTTCCCCCCTTACCTTTGGTGACTAAGTCCATTTTAAAGGTTATATAGCCCCGAAAATTTGCTTTAGTTTAAAATCGACTGCTATGTGATCATTGCGATACGTTATTTTACAGTGTCAAGGATCTGAGAGTCAATATCGCCTCGCGTAAGTTTCCCTTTTTACTTCTAGTTGACCAGAAGATTTCTTGCGGTTTTGGTGTATCTCGCCACATTGACTTGCTTGAAACCTGTAGGGGGCTGTTGAATGCTTGCAATTATTTATATTCCAAGTGTTCCAAGGGGGAGATGGGTAGGCATCCGCCTGCTAGTACGATACTCTCTCTCTTGTTTCCGCCTCACTTCCAGCCCATTTCATGCCAGTTCTACAAGACTGTCCTTTATCAATTTATAACTGTATTTTAAAAATAGTAATTTAAATACTTTGGAAGTCATTTTTTTACTTATTTCCTTTCTTCAGTCACTTAGGCGTTTACTTGTTCCATTTGTAAGAAGGCTTTCGATGATGAAAATTTTTTCAGCCATCACATGAAGAGAAGTCACTCTAATGAGATTATTTTTTAGGATCCCTTTTTCGTTTGGCCTCCGGATAAAATAAAGAAAGAAATTTCCTTTCCTGTACTTGTATTTCAGTTCCTATAAGGGTGAATCAGGAGTCACCGGGACTTAGACCGCTAACGATTCCAAAACCCTATGAAGGCACCACTTGTGGGACAGCCTTTATCTGGCATTGCGAACTGGAGACCCACATGAAAGAGGCCCACTGTGTTAACTCGAAAAGTAGGTGGTATACTTCTTATGAATGCATCTCAGTAGGTCCCGCATTTTCCAGCTTGCCAATTGTCTCTTGTTTCAGACACTTCTCGAAAAATGCCGTTAAATGAGGCACGTGTTACTTCCTCACTGGAATCGTCAAAGGGTGACAGGGTTTTAAATGGCTATGTACTATCTTTTTAAGATGCGAGAAGAGAGGGCGTTTTCCTGCGCTTCTCCTGCCAACTATGCGATGAAAAATTCATTCTTGAGAATGAATTAAAGGAACACACCAGTTTACTTCATTTAAAGGGTCTTAAAGTGGAAAAGGAAGACGAAGATGAAGATGTGAAAGGTGAGGTTGCAAACATTTGACGGTAGCACCTACTTACATGAATTCAGTAGACGCGGCCCTTGGCCATCTATTCAGGACACTTTCCGCTGGTCAGCTCGACAGAGGAACTGAATGGTGGTAAGTATCTGCTGAGTTGAAAACAGTTTTAATGATCGCCATCCTCTAAATGACGCCACACTACCCAGTGATGCGAATGGACCTCCACTAGTACGGATTCCGTGTTTCCACTGTTTTGAATCGTTTCTGCTTCAAAGTGAACTTGTGGAGCACATGCAATTGTCTCACTCGGGTAAGTCAGTCCTCACAAAAGTTGGTTGCCCTGAAAACTAGCTTGATTTGGACATCTTGGAGAAGAAGTAGCTGACTGGTTTGGATGGCTAATGCAGCAATGTGTCCTCAACTTTGCTACTTTAATTACCAATGTTTTTCCCTGTCAAACACCTCGTAAGAAGCTACCCTCAAATGAAATAATTGTGATTGACGTGATTTGTATAAAGTTAAATGACGGTTTGAAGAAGTTCCCTCCTGGCAGGCAATTTTGTTCAAACCCTCGTCACAATTAGTAAGAGAAGCGTGTTCTCCCTTTCCTAAATAGTGAAGCTTGAGTCGCCGACTCAATCGCGAACTCAAGCCCTACGTCTGTCCGAAGTGCCAAGCGGCCTTCACCTGGCACACAGAGCTGGAACTGCACGCGCGCACCCTACATGGCAGTGAGTTCAGCCATTTTCAAATTTTACTATTGCTTCTTCATGCTTGGAGCATGTCCTTAGAATTTGATTAAATTGCAAATTTTCACATTTTATTAGCGATTTGGCATTGCTGTTTTTTATCATGCAAATATTCTTATTTTCCTCCTCGTTTTAGTTTTACGTCATTTCGTGTGTCGAGATTGCTCCAGGAGTTTCGTCACAACGGCCAGCTTAACCGCTCATATCTGCATGAAACATCGTTGTGAGTTATGCTACCATGATTGGCATTAAGTAGACTCAGCAAATTTTGGTGTTTAGATGCCTGATTTGAGAGTCACCTACTTATCTAGTTTAAGTAGCAGTATTCGGATATTGGCTTATTGCTTTGGTAGGGGGTTAATTAAAGGACATAAAATCCATAATCAAGCCGTAAAAATTGAGTGGTTTCTTTCTCCTTAAGTCCTACAACTGGAATGTATAGTTAGTAATTTCTCTTTAATGAAAAAACCTCAAAAATCGTTTTCATTTGGCGGACTGTTATAGTCTGAGGGCCTTTCTACTACTCACACGGAATAAGTGCGATTTGGCCGGTTCGCAGTAAAAGTCAAGTCATCGGCACCGCCACGGCCCGTGCCAAAATCCTACATGTGCCCGAAGTGCGATGGCACCTTCACTTAGTGCACCAAGATGAAGGCCCACGCTCCAGCTCCACATGGCAGTAAAGCACAGTGAGAGAAAAGTTCTTGTAATCACTTGACGATACCTATGATGATATCTTTATGCTTAGAAACTCATTATATTCATTTTTATGCTTGGAAATTGGTAGCCTTGCCTCTCCCCATCTGTCTATTACGTTAAAGCCCCATAAAATTGGGGCTCATAGGTCTTTATAATCAACTATGGGACGAGATGTGGCTTTAGCATCTTGATTACACCCTTTAAAGGTCCTGACCGTTACGCATGCTACGTCCTTCTCTCCATGCAGCCTCTAGGCAAATGTTCTTGCCCACCGTTCGGAGCAGAATGCGACGTGGCACCAAGATGCCAACCGAAAGCAGGGAGATTGTAGAGCCCGCACAGTGCAGACCCACTTTTACTATCATGTTTTTCTCAGTGTATTTTCAGACATGAGAACTGGTACAAAGGCAAATTCGTTCACTCGTCACTACGACCTTTATGTTTGGGCAAGTTTAGCATCGAGTCTTATAAACTAAACGTTAATGACATCTAGAGCTTTTTGAATCAAGTGGTATGGCGCAAAGTCTTGCATCTCCGACTAAGTAATGTTTGTTTGTTCGGCCGATAATTTGGAACTCTTTAACTGTTTTACTGCTGTTTAGATTGCCGGTAAATTGGAAACTCACTGGAATGCTGCCTGGTTTAAGTTACTACTGCTTAAAAAATAAGTAACCTTTTTATTTACAAGTCGCGCGGCGCTTCCTATGCATGGAGTGCCCATGGCGCCTTGCGACCTCCGCCCTTCTCATCGCTCATATCCACGCCACTCACCGTCAAGATCAGTCAAGTCACTTTCTTAATTGGTTAAAAATACGGCCCTTTAATTCACCTCTTATTTCTTTCGACTTATAGGCACGAAACTACACCTGCGCTGATCTGCTTACTGCCCCTATATGTTAAATTTAGAGCTATTTTTTGGCGCAACGTGTTGCCATTTAGATACCAGATTTCCGGGGGCTTTGCATTTAGGTTCCCGAAGATTTTCTGCCATTTTAATACGTATCGGGACTTTTTAAATGAAGGAAAAGTACAACTGAGCGGGAAAATCCTGCAAAAGTTGCTAAATAAACGCCGTATTCAGGCCAAGTTTGTCTTAAGTTGGACTTATCTCCACGCATAATATTTGAGTTTTGGGGGCGAAAACTCAAACAACGAATTCAATTTTAGTGACTTCTCTTTTCCTTCAAGAGTAATAACTTAGGGTGTGACTGTTAGCGCATCACGAGTGTGACCGCTTTAAAAGCACCACACTAGACAGCGATGCTCCGGTTGGCATGGCAAAAATCCACGTCAGTTTTGTTGACGGCGTTTGAGGTCATTCGCCCTCTGCATAAGGGCACGCGCTGGAGTGGGGGCGAGAGCCACGGTAGTGTGGAATTATAAAAGATGTATGGAGTCACCGAATAGGGGACTGTATCAGTTATCTTGTTAATGTACGAGTGATTGCTGTGAGGCAGGTCAGAGATCCGCTATAGATCCGTGTCATAAAGGACTCATTCTAATCAGTATTTAAAGGCTATGCCGCTTTAATAGGTTAGTAAGCGTGAGGTAGTCTTAGGGAAATGCTTCTACTTATATAATAAAAGTAGTAGCATTTAAGTAGTCAAGCCTTTGAAGATAACACCATTGAAGTTTTCTCCCGGAACAATTTCTGGAGCCCTAAAGTTGTCTTAGTTTACTTACTTGCCCAAAATTGGCCTCTGATACGTATTTATGCCCCCTCAACGAGATGAACAACATAATCAGACAGAACGCAAATCGGGTTTTTTGCTTTGCCGCCACCTTATGTCAAGCCTACAACACGGGACTAAATGAGAGCATTTCAGGGTAATGCAGGATTCACAAAGAATCTACACGCACACGCGGCCTGGTTACACTCCTTGTTATCATGAATGATCTTCTCCTTCAACTCCACGCGTGGATTCCAAAAGTTTGAGTAGTTGACACAGAGAGCGTTCTTCAGAATGTGGGCCTGCATGTCCCAAATTGCGCGTTCCCAGGCCCAGGTCACACGGTCTTGACGGTAGGGATACTGACGCACCTTATTGGTCACCCAGTTGATCTCCAGTCGAAAGAGGACTTGACTGAAGGTTCTGGCAATGCGACAAATTATTCGCCTCATCTCCACCGGATGTAACATCAGCGCGGCCACATGAAGCATTGCGTCATTTGGTAGGAGTTCCTCCTTGAATGCCTTTTTAGCATAACTTTTTACAAGTTCTACCAAATTTGCCACAATAAAACGCAGCATGTGACGCACTCTGACATCCTCTACCAGTAGCTGATCATGGAAGAGACAGTTGTTCAGCATATTCATTGCTCTAATACGCTCGTGTCGCCATTGCCATACATTGATGGTCTCCCTTACCAATTTTTTCTGTTCTCGTCATCAATTTCCGGTAATTGAAAGGACTCCGGCTGCTCGAACTCCATGCCAATCGGCTCCTTCTCCCAGAACTTCAGGTGGCCTCGTAGTACTGGGTCTGTGTCATCAAACAAGTCGATAGTAGAGATAATTTCACAGGATCTGCCAGAGATGGGAAAGGGTTTAAAGGAGAGGCGGCGCATAAGACGATAGAGGAGTCGGTATAGCGCCCCTGCATCGTATTTATCCAGAGTGTTGTAACACTCCTCTAGGGTGATATTTGATGACACTAGGGTATCAAGAGTGGCGCCTAGCTCCGCATCCTCCATGTCACTGCTAATGTTGTAATCAAAGTTTCCATCCTGCAGAAAGCTGTAGAAGGGCTCGCCGGACATCTGCTCATTGTGCTTTCGGTGGAGGGTCACGAACACTGCGCCGAGGGGGACGGGAATCTGCACACCGCCACATTCCACTGGTCTAAGGAGGGTCTCATCAAAACGCATACTCGGTCCGTCGAGGAGTTGCTTGAGAAATTCATCCACATTCGCATCCTCCTGATGACGGACGGGGCTCGCAACTCCGTTGGGCATCATTATTACAAGGGTTGTCTCTTGTTTGTCTCACGTGACCGGATCAATATTAGCGCAGCAGAGGTGACACGGGGTCAATCGGTGACGTGGTGGGCGAATGGAACCAAACGGCCTTACAAATTCCCGCCCGGGTGTGCTATAGGGTGTAGAATCGAAGGGATTAGAAAGAGGTGCCGTGACTACTAAGTAGCATTAATAAGTGAATAAGATTTACTTTCTTACGGATAAGCGGGTTTAGTCTCGACATTCTGCTTAGACGGTTACTGTTCACACGATAGGGGTTGGAGCCAGCTTGAGATCTCCGTTTCACGGGTAGGCAATAAAGGGGAGGTACTAGATTTTTATGGAACACATCGCTGGCCAATTCAGCCCCGAGACCGTTAATTGTGGAGGCTGGTGACGACTGTGGTAGTGCGTGCCAGCGTGGAACAATGCGTGGTGAACGGGGTTTCTCGTCCACTCGTGTGGGCTAAGTCTATCAATGAGGCATCTGATCGCGGTGTTTTCTGTCCAGCCGACAGGACTCGTTCCTGCTACATGACATGCTCAATAGCCAAGTCGAGTACAGTTTAATTGCACTTACCTTACCCTGAAATTGACTGTGACAACACACAAATCGCTTCAGTTTTCTACCTTGGTACCAACCGCGAGGCCAAAGCAGGAGAGATCCGCGCCACAACAAAGAAAAATGAATCACAACCTCTAATTCCTAAATCCTATTTAGCTACAGTGGCATTGACCACCGAGGTGGCATCAGAATAAATCAAAACAATAATTCCCGAGTACAGTAAACCAAATAAGAGCAAACTAAAGATTGCGAAAAGTAATAACAAAAACTCTTCGATACTTCGATCAGTGATGCTAAAAAGACGCCAATTAGAACCTCAGATAAGATGTCCTTATCTTTGCGAAAGTCGTGCAAAATATATGCTGTAAGACACGAGGTTAAAAATCAGATTTGTGGACAAGTTTTCTAGTGTCCCAACATGCACAAAGATGAAACAGAGCCACACATCCGGGGAAGTACGAACTCAAAGCTCTGAAAAAAAGCTTGACTTGACCCATAAAAACTAGTAAGACGAGAGATACGCTTTTGAGTAGAGTCTTCAGTGTCTAACCACACTTTTGAAACGTACGAAAACCGAAGACGCCACAGTTCAGAAGAGACGACGTAGAAAAGCCCTCACCTTTTGCCGAAGAACAAACCTACAGTCCAAAGAGACTCCTTCCTCTCATTAACTCAAGTCTGTATTCAAAAAAGTGTTTGCACATAACCTATACAAATTCTTAAGAGACTACAAAAAGCTCCATAGCCTAGTCAGCTAAGAAAGTTGTTGTAATTTGTTAGCCTCCTGCCGCAGACGATTGGCAAACACCTTGGAGACTAAATTTACAGAGTCCATGTAGCGATCCATGCAGTTGCCCAGACACTTTTGTTCAGAGTTGTCGAGAGAAGTACCCGGTCTAGATACGCACTTTTCAAAGCACTTTTGAGTTAGTTGCTAAAAAGGAAACAGTCGAGTACGTACATTTTCTTACATCCATCAGCTCACGAGTGCTTGCAATAGCTACTTCTGCCTTCATTTGATCTACTAATTGTGCCCTTTGTGAAGGAGTTAAAGAACTTAGGGGGGACTTCTCTTGATCCATCGTGAGTTCTAAGCAAGTGGGTTAACTGGGAAGCTCGAGCAGGCTTCAGGAGAAATAATTAACAATGGCATTATGGTTGTAAATTAAAAATTGCTTTAAGAATGTAGGACTTGCTGAAAACATTCAAGCAGAAATTTGGCAAGCAATTAACTTGAGTTGTTTTTAAAGTGCCTAACTTTTAAAATGATACTGCTAAAAAATATGGGGCTGTCGAAAATCCTCAAATTGTACAGATACAATTTATTATAACTAGACAGAAGCATCAACCTAATGGGATTTTAATTCAAGCAAGCCCACTGATTTTTTTCAAATGCTTTTCTTCAACAAAATGCAGCAAAAGCACAAATCATTGTTTTGACCAAAACTGTTTAATTTTACTAATATAGGGTGTAAGACTGTGTAGCGTCCCGAGACTGCCTGAATACGAAAGAAGACACAATACTCGGGCAGAATATATATATTCAGCACGGAGAAGGTGTCTGGGCTACTGGCATGGCCCAAAGGCCAGCCCACCCGGCGAGGTACAAGGGGGCTAGTTCAAAGTACAAAAGTGGCGCCTCACCAGAACCGAGGGACAAACCACTATCGTATTACAACTGGGTCCGAATATTAATCGTATTTCATGAGCTACCTGAAGTTAGTCATTTAACTAGTGCTTTTGTTAGCTTTTACATAAACTATCTCCTATTTGACAGGTACAGCCACAAAATGTTATTCAATACGCATTTTAAAGATGGAATAATATATGCTAGTGTTTTGGTAGAACCTAACATCATTTCTGTAGCTTTAATCAGAATAT